TGGGAGGATGGAATTATAACCCATATAGGGGGTCCACCGTGTCTCCTGGAGTCCCCGCTGCGGCCCGACTTGCAGCTACACCTGGTTGCGCGCCCCAATTCCTCCTCGGTCCTCGTCAGGCTCCGACCTCCGACCCCTCGCGGGGTCGCAGCTGGGGACCCGGCCCCGCTGCCCAACTCAGAGCCGGCCTCGGGCGCCCCCTGGCGGCGGCGCTAGGGACACGAAGGCTGCCGCACCCCGGCCAGCGTGGAGGGGACACGGTTCCACGCGCTTCCCCACTCGCTCGGACGGCGGCGCTGAGGCCTATTCGCTTCTTTTAATAACTATGCCCCTCGAGGGGAAATATAGAGCTTTTAAGGGGAGCGTGTATGCGTGCATGTATGCGTGCGTGTGCGTGTGCGTGTGTGTGTGTGTGTGTGTGTGTGTGTGTGTGTTGGGGCGTTGGTGAAAGCAATAAAACTCAGATCTGTTCCTCGGCGAGATAGCGGCGGCTATAATGAGCCGAGGGGATCAGGGGTTTATTTGCAGATCCTGGATAAAAAGATGATCTATCGACACGGTTTAGAGTGTCACTGCGCCTGGCCTCTCAGGAGCCACAAGTACATATTTCCTGAAATACCACCCAGCACAATATCTAATCCACTCACCACTTGAGCGCCAGGAGTAAGCTCAGCCCCTCGCGGAAGTCCTGGGTGCTGGGATCCCGCCCGGCAGGGCCGGGGCCTGGACGCCCTCGCCTGACCTTTTGTCTTCAGTCCAAGAAATCACTTACCACGGCCCTAATAAATACGTCTGAAAACTGTCCTTATTCTTGGTAAATATTGGATTAGCTTTTCAATGACCAGGCTCTTGAAAAGGCTCGAGAAATCCACACCAGGTCTCAGCTAAGCCCAACAGTCAATAGGTAAAGAAAATAAGTCATTTCCCGACTGGAGTGGGGAGCGTGGAGAAGGCAGCTCCTACTCTCGTCGTCGGGTCACTTGATTGCACTAATTATAACAGTGGTGCTAAATGAGAGAAAGGGGGGCACATTCAAGTTTTGAATTCTTTGGAATTTCCACCCACTCAGTGGTGCACATTAGGGTCTGACTTTGTCCAAGGGAAACATCTCATTTTGTTTTTATTTCCCCAGCTTGGCTTGAACTCTTTTGCTTGGCGAGCGTTGTTTATTTGAGGGATGGTTATTGGAATTTTGACCTAGCTGTCATGGGGGACAAAGCAAGTCCCAAGTCAGTTTGACTCCCTACCAAGAAGGGCTTCGGGCCGAAGTGGGAAAGGCCATGGAAACCCTGCGTGTCTCCCTGATACTGAATTCTGCAAACTAAACAGGCAGGGGACATTGGGAATTAGAAGTCTCTCCCTCCTCCAACGTGGAAGAAGTTTCTGGACTTGTTTTCTGGGGCACTATGATGCCAGTAGGGTCCCTGCACCAATGCAAAGAAAGGTGTGGCCCTTGGCACCTTGGAGTTGGTAATGGAGCAACTGGGCCAGGCCATGTGGCCTTGGTACAGGCTGTGGCTGCAGTTAGGCTGGGTCTGCACTGAGCTGGGCCCTCTGCCTCTGGCACTGTCTCTTGGGGAACAGAAGAGAAAGGAGGCTCAGTCTGTGGGGGCTTCTGGAGCATCCTCTGTGGAAACTAGATTTTCATCCTCCCTGGAGTCTGAAAGTGTGCACTGGACAGAGCATCAGCTAGGCCTCGGGCACCCAGAGCCGCCTCCAGAGCTTGGATGGCCTCAAAGAGAGGTGTGCAGTGGGAGACCTTAGCTGTGGTCTCCCACATCCCAGGATGCTGCAGAGTGTATGCACTGAGCTGTGGGCCCTGGGGGCACTGGTGCCAATAGTGGGTAGGGTAGGGGAAGAGGGGAAAGGAGGGAAAGGGAGGGGAAAGGACAGGAGGAGAGAAGATGGGAGAGGAGAGGGAAAGAGGGAGAAATCTTCAGCTTTCAGTATGTCATGGGGCCTAGGCAGGGCAAGCGCCCTCTGAAGCCATCAAAGACAGGGGTGGCTTTTTTCCCCTCCTCCATTCTCCTCCCCAATAGATATAGCACGAATTTTTAATGCGTCTTCCTTTCACAGACAACAATACAGGGTTTGAAAGCCGGACACAATTTGGGTTTTGTGTGGGTCCCTCCTCTGGCTCCCTCAGCCCAGCTGGCCATATGGAATCCAGCATGGAGCCCAAGAATGACAAAGGGACCCAGTGACAGGCCCAACAAAACCCCAAGAAGACTTCTGCCTGACTCCGGGATTCACTGCCCGAGATAAGCACGCTGAATGGTGCAGGGTGGGGCGGGCGAGCCCCTTCTCCCTCTTCCCCTGTCCGTCCCGGCCCTCCTTTCTCTGTCCCTTTTTAATATGCACGCCTCTAACATCTCCAGCTCCCAACTCGCCCATTGTGCCGTTTTGTGCGGCCTGCTGTAGATTGGGCGAAGATAGACTGCCAGAGCGGACCTGGTGCCGGGTCTGCTCCCAGGGCGCTGGGGTTAGGGCCACACAGGGCTCCGCGGGCACTTTTATTGACTCCATGGGCCTGGAGCGCAGAGAGAGGCGGGCTCTGGGCCCACCTCTCCAGTTCCAGGCCCTGCAGGCACACCCCCAGGCTTCAGGCCTGCAGGCTTGGCCTCCACTCCTCCGAAATGTCCTCTACCCTCTCACAAAGGAAAACTGCAAAAGTTCTGTGCCTCTCCCCTCCTCTCAAGGGCCTGGAGGGCTCTGCGATTATTCTTAGCTCCTGGGAAGGCCCGGGCCCCAGAACTATCTAAACCAACTCTAGTCTTCCAGGGTGTACTTCAGGCCCTGTGGGAGCCCACTCCAAGTGACTCTGAATCTCCACTTCCCTTCCCAGAGGCCTGGGGTGAGGGGAAGCCCCAGTGGGGTGTTGAGTGGTTGCTACCAGTGCAGCTAGGGCATCAAATTTCCGTGCGAGGGATGACTGGGGGCAGCAGCGATTCTCCAGCCTTTACAAACAGCAATACCAAACTCTAAACATTTCCAAGCTAGTGTGGAGAACAAAGGGAGACATTTCAGCAGTTAGGAAAACTGTCTTGCTGGGGGCGAACCTGGAGATGGGAAGGCCCTTTTGGGGGATGTTAGACAGCTTCCCCCGCCCTCTACTACCCAGGGACCCCAGCGAAACGCGGGAATAAAGTGTAATCACCTCCCTGGCCTCGTTGCGCTGAGTGCTATTGACGGGCAGATTTGGTCACACGGATAATCATGTTTGCTTTAGATATTGAATTAAATCTGATCATCAACTGGAGGGAGCGGAAAGTCAGCTGGGACGCTCCCTTTGCCCGGCCTCCTCGCCTCCCCCTCCCCTGGCCTGGTGGAAGCGCTTGCTCCGGAGAAAACCAGAGGTACTATTTCCAAACGGGCTGACTTTCCCTCTCTGGCATCTCAGAGAGTCCCTGAACTCTGAGCCGCGGGTACTTTCGGGAAGCCGAGCGATAGAGGAGAAAGGTGCGCCCCACCCCCAGCCTGCCCGCCCCCAGGAGACGCTCCCCTGCGTGGCCAAGGGTGCGCCGGCGTCGGGCCAGGAGCTGTGCTCCAGCGACACAGGTGGGAAGGAGTCAGTGCAGTGTTGGGGAAGGAAGGAAGGAAGGAAGGAAGGAAGGAAGGAAGGAAGGAAGGAAGGAAGGACCCCCTCCCCCCGCAGGCCTAGCAAGGCTCTTTGCCCACCTCCTGCTCCCCCAGCCCAGACCTGGAGGCCCGCGCGCCGCATCCCGCTTGCAACCTGGGCTTTCCAACGCGCCTCTCATTCCGACGCCCAACGACCTGCCTTGGGGGACGCTCGCCTCCCCGCGCCAGGAGCGTACCCGACTCGGGATCTAGCTCCGGAGAGAAGTCTGGAAGCGGGAAAGGATGGGGGCGGCTGAAGGGGAAGACTGAGGTAGCTGGGATCTCCAAGGATGCGCACTCCCTGCCTCTCTGGGGTCAAAGAGCTCCAAGGAAGGCGCAGCCACCTCTCCTTCCCCTGCCGCCAGGACCCTGTGTGTCCCTCCCCAAGGCCCACGTCGCTCCCCGAACACACCCCCACCCCTGCGCCCCGGCCTCAGAGCGGCTCCCAGGCCTCTATGCGTCCGCATATTTTGAAGAGGGGGTGGGGAGTAGAGTGAAAGCCGCCCAGGCTCCACCGCACACCCTGGCCCCTTCTTAGAGCGAGGTAAATCAAACGAAACAAAGTGAAAGTCATCGAGTGTAGTGGCTTCAACAGCTTCTCAGGCTGAAGGAGCCACTCGTAGATTTGGGCGAGCGAGGGGGGCTTGCTCTCCTTGCCTTAGCGTTTCCCAAAGTCACTTTTCCACCCGAGGCCTGGACGCTGTAGCCCCAGGCGCAGACCGCGCGCTGCGGAGAGGCGGGGAGAGGGGAGGCCGCCCATACGGGGGCCAAGCTCTTGCAGATTGCCGGCAAAGTGCTCCGGCCGCAGAGTTGGGCCGGTGGAGCCAGAGGAGGCCCGTCGGGGTCCCCTCCTGCGCCCCAGTATCGGCCCCCCCCTCCCGGAGAGGAAGCATGCAAGGCTGCACCCCGCAGGCCTCTTGGGCCTGGCGACTGGCGACAGTCAGATAAACCGAAGGGCTGGGCTTCTTGGTTTTTTTTTTTTTTAAACACAGGATTTTTATTAAAATTCTTATTTAAAAAATCGAAAGCTTTCAGCGCCCGGCGCTCTTGGGGAACCGCGCGGAACGGCTGAGCTCCAAGTTCCGGCCTCAGATCCCGGAAAATGGGGGGCGGGTGGGGGGTTTCTGGCCTACACATTTCTGTCCTTTTTCATATTTGAAAAAAGTTTTCACTGAACAAAATAAAAAAAGAAGAAAACGGGGGAACCCAAAAATAACCAAACCAAAACAAACGACAAACCAAGGCTTTGGGCCCCGAGGGGAAACAGGCCCATCCTGAAGGTCATTTTGGCAACATTCACCACCGATATTTACAACCCAAAGCAAAATCTGCCACCAGTAGTCAGAACGTTTACATGGCCATAAATATTTAGTATTTTCTCATTAAAAAAGAAGAAATTCTCTATATTTTTTAAAGTGTTCTCCACTTGCTTTAGAAGACGGCTGACGCTACTCACACAAACATATTTTACAAAATTCACGAAAGCGGGGTGAAGGGTTGCTGTGTTTCTCCTTTTCAAGTGAGGACTTTAACGCTGGGGTGGTTTGGTGTCCCCAGGGAGAGGCAAGAAGCGAAGCTGCGCAAACACGTCTGTAAACAAGGCTCAGAGTTCAACCCCCTCCAAAGGTTCGAAGGAGAGAGAGAGACGGGGAAAGAGTCGTGGATGGAACCTTCGGTGCCTCATCAACGGAGCCCAAAGGAGACCGGTTCTCCGATAATAATATAATAATAATAGTAACCACCAAGGACCAAGTCCTCCTCGCCGCCTCCGGGGTGGGCCTGGCCTGGGCCGCGAGTCTCAGGGGCGGCTCTCACCAAGTCCACTGCTGGGCCTGGACCAGCGGGTGTGCTGTCGGGTACTGGGGGGTGCTGGCCGAGCTGTACTGGGCGTTGTACTGCATGTGCTGCAGCGACTGCGCGCTGTAGGCCGTAAAGGGGATGCCCGCCTGGAAGGTGGCGGCGGCCAGGTCCTGGGCTTTGAGCGCGTGGCACGGTTTGCCGTCCCTGACCAAGACGGGCACGGCCACCCGGCGCGGCGAGGGCAGGGGTGTCACCTCCATACCTTTTTCGGCCCGCGCGCGCTTCATTTTGTAGCGGTGGTTCTGGAACCAGATCTTGACCTGCGTGGGAGTGAGGCGGATGAGGCTGGCCAGGTGCTCCCGCTCAGGCGCGGACAGGTACCGCTGCTGCCGGAAGCGCCGCTCCAGCTCGTAGGTCTGCGCCTTGGAGAACAGCACGCGCCGCTTCCGCTTCTTGCCCGCATCGCCGCCGCTGCCCGGGGTCTCCTTGTCATTGTCCGGTGACTCGTCGGCCGAGGGCTCTGGGGACTTGGCGCTGGAGTCTTGGGGGGGCGCGCCGGCCGCTAGCCCGTGCACTGCGGGGGAGAGAAGCGCGTGAGCGCCTGGAGGCCGCGCGCAGCCCTGGCCACGCCGGCGCCGCGGATTCTCCGTGCGCCCTGGTCCTGGGCGCAGCAGACCAGCTTCGCTCCACGCTCGGGGAAGCGCCCGGGTCTCCCTGGAGAAAGAGCATAACCTGCAGAAGTGGGGACCCCGGGTTCGAGGTGCTGGGGGTTCGCACGATGTGGGTGTGGATTTGGGCGGGGAGGGGCGCGTGGGAGATCATCTCGGGTTAAGGGCTCCGGCCCCCTTAAGTTGTTTCCTCTTTGGAGAGACGTGGGCAGATTTTTAAAAGAAAAACGCCACAATCCCAGCATTGATCGGCTAGGCCATTTAAGGCAGGTTTTTGGGGGCTTTCGCTTTTGCTCTTGGGCTTTCCTGACACCCCCGCACCACACAAAGCGTCCTCTATGATTGCGCAGGGGGCAGGGTGAGCTACTTATACCCAGGCCACCCGAAGCCTCCCCCACCCTCTCCCGCGGTCGGACCAGGCTCGCGGCCCATCTCCAGGGCCCAGGCCAGTTCCGCTCTGACGAGAGCTCCCAGGCCTGGCCGGGGCCATCACATACGGGTGACATCTGCAAATAACTCTGGCTTCCCTTCTCCTCTTCCTCCTTACTCACGTTGGGGGGAAAAATTCTATGACCAAGCCTTTTGCAGGGACGGGGGACTGGAGGAGGACAGGACAGAGCACACCCCAGACAAGTGTTAGAAACCTTCCTCGGGACCCAGGAGGGACCTGTGCTCAGAGGGCTTCTTCCCCCTGGGCACCCGCGTCCGGGCCGGGGCTGGCCGCAGGAACCGGGCGGGTCCCCGCCCAGGACCGAAAGCTTCGATACTCACGGGAGTACTGCAGGCCCTCGGTGCTGGCCAGCCAGCGCGTGTACGGGTTGTCGCTGCTGTCGTAGAAGGGGCTCTTCAGGGGCAGGCTCTGCACCGCGTCCAGGGCGCCCTGCCCCAGGGGCCCAGCCCTCTTGGGGGGCTCCGGCCCCTCGTTCTCCTCCTCCGGTCCCTCGGCCACTGAGCCCTCCTCATCGTTAGTGTCCGGTAGGTCCAAGATGTCCTTGACCGAAAATCCGGTCTTTGTGTTGGTCAGCGACATGGTTCGGGACCCCGCAATTTATGCCGCAAAGTTGTGGCTGCACTTGGTCAATTCGTGGCGCTCGCCAGCCCCGGCGGGCGGGGGAGGGGTGGGGGGAGGGAGTGGGGAGGGGAGGGGGATGGGCCTTAATTATTGGGATAATTATTATTTTAGAAAGAGGGAGAGCGAAAGAAACAGTGGGGAAAGGGAGGGGAAGCAACGAAATCCGACCCCAGCCTCGATCTTCTGCAGAAGCGCGCTGCGGTGGGAGTGCGCGCCCGGCCGGTTTGTAACTCCAGGAGCCGGGCCAAGGAGGCGTCAGCGCGGGCTCCAGCGGCCGCTAGGCGCGCGGTGGCGGCTGGTGGCGAGGAAAAAATGGGCCATTGCCCGAGCGATCAGTCCATATAAGGCTGGGCTCCACTCACGAACCTGGGGAGGAGGGGAGGGGAGAAAGCGGGAGGGAGGGAAGGGGAGCGAGGGAGGAGGGGGAGCGAGAGAGGGAGTGAGGGAAGAGTGGAAAAAAGGGGGAAGAGACATTAAAAACGCAAAGGTTGGCCACGTGTGGGCGGGTCTTGGGAGTCAAGTGGATGAAGACAGTATTTGCAGATGTGAAATTGTGGGTTTTGGGGAGCTCCGCGCTCCCAGCCAACGGCCCTCTAGAGCGAGATGAGAGGTGTAACGTTGTCAATTAATTGCAAAAACCGGTCGAGCTTTTTTTTGCTTTTTTTTTTTTACCCAGTATTTACATACAAAGGACCACCGCATCGCTGCAGAGTCCAAGCACTTGAAAGGGCCGTTTTAACAAATTGCATCTTAAGGGGGGTGGTGGTGGTGGTGGTGGTGTGGAAAACAAAACAGACAGTGGAGGAGGAAAAAAACCCTCTTCTTCACCATTCACCGGTCTCCCCCCACCCCCAGCAAGCCGGAAAACCGGCGATCAGTGGGGCCTTTGGAAAAGGGGGAGGGGGCGGCTGAGCCGCAGAAATCTCCCCTTCGAGTCGCTGGTGGTTCCCCAAACAAGATCCGGTTCAAATGGCAAGAACCCAACTTCTGTAAGCCTCCTAGGTCAATATTTTGGTTGAGGCTTAAGGATGAGTACTAGAAATGACAAGGCAAGTAATTGATTCTAGTCAACCGCGGAAGAGCTGGAGATCCTAGTAGAGCGCCCCGCTCCCTTCCGGCCAGGGCCACCGCGAGCCCTCCAGCCCCCTCTAGCCGGCCTTTATTTGCTAAAGACTAGTTTATTTCCCTCCCCCACTCCCCCACATCCTCGCTTTCTTCGTGGCTGAGAGGGACATGCAGTTCACTTTCTGCTGGCCGGCTCGGAGGGCGCGCAGAGCTCTGACCCGCCCGGGTCCTGCTCCGGCTGCTCCGGGCTTCGGGTTGGCCTCCTTCTCCAAGCCAGCGGAGAAGGACCTGCGGCCCGTTCCCCTCTGGCCTCTATTATCCCTGCCTCTGCAACCCCCTCCCCTCCAGGCTGCAGCAAAAGGTGGAGCGGCGGGAAGCAGAGGGCAGGATTGCGGCGGGGGTGGGCTGGGCTTGTGCCACCACCCAGGCGAGGACCAGAAAGCCTCGGGGGACTGGTCGCAGGGTGGGCCAGTGGTGCAGTGTTTTCTCCCGAGTTATCCTCCCCAGTGCAAATCCTTCCATTTCCTCTCCCTTTGGAACCCGCAGGGGTGCGTCTCGAGGACGCGCTTCAGGGTCGCAGTTCTAGGTTAGTGCCAACATTGCAACCTCGCCCCAGCCCGGGAGCGGAACTTTCCTGGGACAGCCCTCCTCCGCGCGAGGGAAGAAAAAGGCCACTCCGTCCAGTTTAAAATTGAGGGGAGACTTGCTACCTGATGCTTGCTTGCTCCAAAGGAGCGCCGGGGGCGAGGAAGGCAGAGAAGGTCGCCTGTGGGGGTCCCGGTCTCTGTGCCCCTAACTCCCCCAACCCAGGCCGCCTGGCGCAGGCAGAGCGGAGCGCGCGGCCTGGGTCTTCCTTGCGCGCAGCTGCGGGGGCCGCCGCGGCGCCCCTGCCACCCCGGGTTGCCAGCGTCCAGTGAGGGCGCCTCTCTCCGGGCCACTCGGCGGCTTTCCGCAGCCCTAGCTGCCTCGCCCCCAGTATGTGACGTGGGTGACAATGGCCCAGGGTGGAGCGACCCCCTCGTTGGCGCGTCCTGGGTGGTCGGACCCGGGCAAACACAAATACAAACCGATTGCTAAGCTGCGGACAATGAGCGAAATGTAGACAAATGTCCCGCTCCCGTTGGAAGCCTTTGTCCCGCCTCGGTTTTTGCATTTATTTCAGTGGCGAAATAATACATGATTGACGCTCTCTTTCAATGTGTCCTAACTGTTTGGAATAAATCTAAGGTTGTTGCTAGTTGTCATGGCATTCAACCCTTTTCAATGGACTATCTCTTCATTCATTTCTGAATCCGTCCACAATATTAAGGAAACCCCTTCATGTCGTCGCTCCTCGATTCCTTTTTCTCCTCCTACTTTTTCTTTTCTCCTTTCTCCCCTCCCCCTTTTTTCCCTTCAAGAATTACAAACTGGTTTGAATCGTGTTCCTCAAACACATTATTTTTCGTGCTTTCCCCCCAACCTCTTTCCAGACTGTCTTTCTCAGCCGCCCTGTCTTGCCTCTTCCTCCCCCTTTAATGTGAGAGCACCAAGGCCTGTCCAGTTGCAGGACGGAAGTCGGTTTTCCAGGAATCCGGGAAGCCCGAATTTGGACATGGGGCTTGGGGTGGGCCTGCCCAGCTACTGTTACTCAGCTGCTAAATAAATAACTGGTGAGAAAAAGATCCTCAACCCAAGCATTGAAGAAAAGAACCTCCTTTCGTCTCTCCCCTTAGTCCTCTGTCCCCAGGGAGGGGGCTCTCTTGGGGACCCCTGTAGCCACCAGTGATGGAGTCTGAGGGCAAAGTGGAGCCCACTTAGATCAGGCCAATTCTTGGTTTGGGTGGAGAAGAAAGAACTCCCTTTTGCACATCCTCAGAGCCAACTTTGGGTTCTTGTGGGTGGGGTGGGTCAGCTGAGACACCTTCCAGAGCCAGTTTGCTCCAGCTTGGAACAGCTTGCCTTCCTGTAGTTCCTACATCTTCTTAGCTTTCCCAGCATAGTAGGCCTTCCTTCCCTGGGACTGATCCCCTCCCTTCACTCTGGGGACCTGGTGAGGTGCTCAGAGCACCTGAGAGATCCCTGTTTCCCTCTGGGAATCTAGGCCCCTGGGAATGGGTCAGGGGCAGGGAGGACCTGCCTGAGAACCCTGAGCTCCAGGTCCTCAGCCCAGATCAGAAAGGCCAGGTTTGCCCCGGCTCCTGACCTTTCCCTCCACCAGCCCCATCCCTAGCGAGCCAGGGCCCCTGCTCCAGCCTCCCCCAGCTCCGAATCCCTCTTTTCTGCCTCGGAGAGGCCAGGCAGGCTGAGAGGGAACTGGAGAGGCGGGGCCTGGCCTCAGCAGCCTCGCCCTGCTCAGCCCAGTCTCTCTCTGGGGACTCTGTGAGTCCACGTCCCCCATTCCTTCTTTGCCCTTGTGGTTTCCGCGTCCACTTCCAAAGCGTTAACATTTGCAATTGAAAAGGCGCAGGGAGACCGCTGGGAGGCCCATAATTGGAAGGGAGAAACTGGGCTTGTTAGAGGAAGATCATAAAATGCAAGTCCCCCAGGAGGGGCCGGCGGACGGCAGCGTGGGCCCAGCTGGCGGCCAGGGCAAGTCCCGTGCCCAGAGCTTGCTCCCGGGTCCCCTCGATTTCGTGGGCTGGGCTCCTGGCCGCCATAGGCGAGGATCCAGGCGCCAAACGCACCTCTTCCGCCCAAAGGAAACAGGTGATTTCAGGCCGAAGCTTCCCCAGAAAGCTGCCCCAACCACAGCCCGGCCTTTTGCAACCGGGATCTCCTTTTCCTCGGGATCTGGGAGGCAGAAAGGTCCCAGCCTCGTGCCCCTTTCCCCTCCCGAGAATCCTTATTATTGTACCCTGCCTGCCGGTTGGGAACCTGTCAGCATCGCGCTTAATGTTTCGCTGGAAGTGGGTGTGCACGGGTCCCCCCACTCGGAGTTCTTTATGATCGCTGCCAGATTCGAGCTGGACGCCAAGAGAGGACTTGGTTCTGGTCCCAGCTTGGGCTCCGAGGCCGCGGTCGGGGAGCTTGTGCACGCTTGGCGACTGGGTCTGATGCTGTGAACTTGGGGGGGAAGTCCAAGTGGGTGCCTAGAGCAGAGTAAGACCTGCCGGACTTCCTTTCGTGTCGGGAACAACTCGCATTCAGACGGTAGCGGGATACCTGCCCGCCTGGCGCCAGGTCTTCCCGGTCCACGCTGGGGCTCTAGGTACAAATCTCTGTGTGCATCCTTCTAGGCTTAGTCACTTGGGGTTGAGGGGAGGAAGAGGACCTGTCCCTGGAGGCCAGAGCACAGCTTCTTTCAGGGCGTCTGGAGCTAGGGTCCCGGGACGTTGCGCAGCCCTGCGCATGGCGAGGGAGCTGAACAATCTCAGAGGCCCAGGCGGGGAGGTGAATGTACACAGCCTAAGTGGCCCCACTCCATGACAAGTGGCCCTCTAAGACGGCCCAGTGTTTACCTTCCCAGGTAGCTCAAACACGAGCGCCTTTTCTGTGTCCAGGAGCCTCGGGCAGCGGCGAGGCGTCCTGCGTCCCAGCTCTCACTCCCCACAACTCGGCGACGCTCCCCCTGTTGGGGGGGTGAGGTCTATACCCAAGCACACAGGGCAAGAAAGAAAAATATTTTACTTTAGGGAGCGGGGGAAAGGCCCTAGTACGCCGAGAACCTCCTTCAGCCTAGGTAAGGACTGTGCATTCTCAGTGACAGCGGCCCTTCCCCCATCTCTGCGCTGGGCGCTAACGGCCTCTGGGGACACTGAGCTCCCCCCCACCCCCAGGCTGCTGAAAGCCTGTTCGGAGGTGCAGCTTCCAGGGGAGTTAAGGAAAAAGTCCTAGGGTGGGGGTGGACGGTGTTGGGGCCGCCCGGAGGAGTCCAAAGCTTCAAAGCCTGAAGATTAGCAGCCCTATTTGACACACTCCGTTTCCCTCCGCACCCACAAAAGCACTCCCCATCATCAAAAGTATGTGGTCCTTCCCTTTATTTGCAAACACTAATTTGACTTCATTTCTTTTCT